GTAACATATCAAAATATTCCTAAAAAAAAAAAAAAAATCAAAATAAAATTTAATGCAAATTTCTAGGAACCGAAGAATCTAAAAGGTGACTCCTATTATCTGCACGAAAACATTGTGATAAATAATTTCTTGACATCCTCCTAAGCTTGACATGGACAGACTAACACATTATAAATGTCTCATTTATCAGCGCTGCAATTAAAAGAGATGAACTTTATTTTGTGCGTTATACAATTGTTGCGAGTTGTGCGATGCTTTATTTTCCAAAAATTAATGGACCTAAATTTTATACTTTTAGGTCTACAAACTTTTTCCCCCCCTGTAAAACAGGGATAATATTAATTACTACTATATACTAAGTAGTGATTACAGGTAGAGTAGGGGCGCTAGAAGCGCCATATATAGTAGTGGCATTAACATAACTGTTAACACTACTATTGCAAAGAGTTGCTAGCTAGGCTATAAATAAACAATACTCCGTAAATAAGTTCCAAGTTGTAATTACTATTCCTTCCTTGTCTGGTTCGACCAGTTAAACCATATTTATGTTATGTAACAAACACTACTAGAAATTCGGTAAAAATCGATCAAGGTCGACCGACCAATTTTGGTCGGTCAAAAAACCGATCAAAGTTGGTCGGTTTTTCAAAATATTTTTTTTAATTTTTTTTTTTACGAAACCGACCAACTTTGTTCGATTTTTTTAGCGCAAAAATGCGGGAAACTATTTTTGAATCCTGCGAAATTTATGTTTTAAGAAACCGACCAACTTTGGTCGGTTTTTCAATTAAAATAAATAAATATTAATATTAAAAAAACCGACCAAAATTGGTCGGTTAATTCGGCCGGTCATTTAAAAAAACCGACCAACTTTGGTTGGTAATTTTACTTTTTAATAAAACCGACCAACTTTGGTCGGTTATTTTCATGCGAAAATACAATTAAAGAGTATAAATCAAATAAAAGACAGTCTTAAAACAAAATGTACCAATGGTATAGTGGTAGAATAGTATCCTGCCACAGTACAGATCCCGGTTCGATTCCCAGATGGTGAATCTTTTTATTACATAATTAAAATACCGACCAACTTTGGTCGGTTTTTTTTGCAATATTTTTTTTTGAATTTAATTGACCGACCAAAGTTGGTCGGTAATTTCCGACCAACTTTGATTGGTATGCCTTTCCGACCACAAAAATACCGTCCACACATAAATGATCGCGTTTTGGTCGGTTTTTGGCCATTACCGACCAATATTAATCGATTTTTTTGATCGATTTTTACCAAATTTCTAGTAGTGAAAATTAATTTTTATATAACTAATTCAACGTTTAACTGGTTGTATAAGAAATAAAAAATTCGTTTAATTAATGCATAGTATGGCTGCCTGTATAAAAGAAAAGTTCTTGCATCACTGTGCATAGATTGCGGTAGTTAATTGTACTAAATAAATACTTCCATAATTCATAATAAGTGACTTTTTGGCCTTTGTATTTTGGTTCAAAATAAGTGTCCGTTTTAAATAATCAAGAATGTATTAATTTTAATTTTTTAAATTTGCCCTTATTCACATATCCCAATGTGTCAAGTTAATACTATGCAAATTTTAATTAAGGGTAATTTAGTCAAATTTTTTTTTTTTAGGAGTTAGTACTTTCTTAAGGGGTATGCCAAATATTAAAAAGTCACTTATTATGAACCGGAGGGAGTACCTTCGTGAAGTTATACAAGAATTATGCACTATTTTATCCATGTGTAATAAGAATATGGGTGTTAGTAATATATAGGTTAAAAAACCTTACACATAAATTATTTTAAACTAGGTAATCCTATTTCATGTATTAGTTTTAATAATTGAATAATTTTATTTGTCACAATTGTGATTTATTTACAGCTCAAACAAAACAAATAAGCATTAAAATTGGACATGAAAGCACAATTCCTTAGGGTAGTTTGGTATGATGGATAAAAAATAATAATATTTAGGGATAAAAATTTAGTACCGCCTTATCCCTGTTTAGTAACTAATCTTATTATCCCAGGATTAAAAATAGTACCGGGATAACTTACACTTGCCAGAGAGTGGAATAGTAATCCCATAATAAGTTATCCCTGGATAAAACAGTAAAATTGACAATTATAGGATTAATACAACATATAAAAAATAGTCAATAAAAAATAATACCGATATTACTAATCCCTACCTAACTAATCACAATATAACAAGTTCCAGCATAAATTGTCTTCAAACCAAACATTCTTTAGAACCAAAACTAAATATCACCAGCCTCAGCTACAACTTAAAATACTACGTAGCAAATTATTTAGGATAAAACTCAGTGTACCCAGATGCACTAATTTTGAAAACAAACTGTAGTAGACCTCTTGGATTATCATTCTGATAATTGCTTCTGACCTCATTTTACTCTGAAAAACCCTATTTTTTCTTTCCTGCCACAAGTAATATATACTCCCTCCGTTTCAATTACGAGGCATTTTATAACAATCACTCCATTTTTACTCATATATAAGTATTTCTCGCATTATAGCTCAGGCATAATTAGCTTAATTATAAACCAAATACTCTTTTTATTTTTACGAGCTTCTCACTTTGCTCTCTTGGTAATTCGAAGCACAATTTCTATATGGAAGGTGAAAGGTACTTTTGAAATCAACAATTTGGAGATCCATTTTATCATAAAAAGAAAAAAAGATCAAAGAGATTCTGCAAAAAAGATTTCCTTTTAGCAACTGATATCATAAAGGTTTTATTCTCTAATACTCAACAAATCATCAAAGGGAAGATACCCCTCTCTCCAGTCTCTTCTTGCCTAGTCCTATAGCTGTATCAGTATTTCTTGGGAATTTGGACAAACAATTTGGCAGGTCTGAGATTCTCTCTCTTTAATTATCTTTTTTTCTTCTTCTTTTTCTGTTAAAGGGTGTCGTTGTTCCACATATATGTCCGTCTTGACACAAAATTGTAATCAATGTGTGCACACGAATAAATGGATTAATTATGCGCTCATCTATTATTAGTTTCTAAAAAAGAAAAAAAACCTATAGTTTCTTCAAATATGTAAACGCCCCTCACTGTACGTAGTTCCAATAATTATTGCCCTCGACCTCTAGTTAGATTTTTGTTAGCGGCACAGTAGCTACTGTAGAACCTTTTTTGGAATTTACTTTGGATATTTTTTGGAATATTTACATATCTGATTTGTTCAAGTAGTATAAGGACTTACTTTTGTGCGTTGAAGCTAGTTATTGTACCTTATAATCAAATCCAAAAAGAGACATAACTAAATTAGTTATTTTGTTTTCTCAGTTTATTTTTCGTCTTTTCATTTCTTTATCAGTATTTTCTTTTCTTTCTCTAATTGTCTGCGATAAAATGAATTTACAACTTGCTTTATATTAATTTGATATATGTATTCTTCTTTAAGTGGAAAATGTTAGTTTTCAATATAATTTTTAATTTAAATTTTAGCACAATAAACTATTTCATATTTTGGATAAGATAACGTAACTGTGAAATTAACCAACATTTGAGGTGAAAGTAAATATTTTAACAATTACCTCATTTATGCATACACGACAAACGTACTATATCAGTTAAAATAACAAAGATTAACGGCTAATTTTTTATTTTTTAAGATTGCAAGGAGTGATGTTGAAGCTAGCACAAATAACCATCACAGAACCCAAGTGTGATTTAAAATTAGTTGGAATTTTGAGCACCAATAATAAATGAAGAATTAGCTGGTGTTTTGCAATAGATTTCCAAATTTATTCTGAAAAATTGATTTGGATGAAATTTGGTTTGAAGATGAAAATGTGTTTGGACATCTATTTTTGGTGAAGTTTGGTTTGGAAAAACATGAAACATGACTCATACCTACAAGTTCTAAAAACTATCACAAATACCCAACAATACCATTATCAATAACATTCATTATATTATCGCAAACCATAGTCCTGAACATAAATAAATTTGATATAAAATTATCATTTTTATAATAAACTACATGATACACTATCAGATGACCGAGAAGACGAAACAACATCGTTACAAAATAATAAATGGTGGGTTCTTTTATAAAATACAAAAGTTTCGACAATTTTAAAAAAATATAATAGTGATATTTTGGCTGGTTTTGGGATTTGATATTTAGTATTTGGAATTTGGTCAAAATATAGGCAAAATCTATGGCCAAACATGTATTTTTTAAATAAAATCCAAGTTTATTTTGACAAAATCTATAGCAAAACGGGTACTCAGTACTGTGTACTGAAAAGTGAAAACATACACTCTCTACGTCTCTATTTAAATACCAATTTAAGTTTTATGTATGGATGATGCAGAAATGTTTTGCATTCTTTACAAAATAATCATATATAGTAATTATTTCTTTTTAATAAAAAATACTTAATACTAATAAAGTACAATAAAAATAGTAAATCAGGAGTACCTATTATCACAATTTAAAGCATACTATAAACTTTTTTTATATTACCATCTCTATATATTTCTATAATTAAATCCTTTAAGGGGTTATTTGGTTGGGAAAGAACTTATTCCAGAATCAGTTATCCCGAGATTGTTATCTCACCTTCCTATAAGAATAAAAATAATATTACAATTTAGGGATAACTAATCTCAAAATTAGTTATACTGTAATTTTATCTCAATCAAATATGAAATAAACTCATCTCAAATTTAATTCCGACATTAATTATTCTAAATGACTCGTACCAAACGAGCCTTAGTGATATATCTGCACACACAGACATGTATAGCACCTTAGGGGTACCCTTGTCTTGTTTATCAGTTTTAATTATATCAGTTAGTCAGATCTCCATGTGCTCCTGGGGACTACCATCTCTCCTTACTTCAATGCCATAATTTCTCTTCTATTTTCTTTGAATGTTTTCATTTTCATTTACACCACCTTTGACCATTTCGCAACTACTTCTTCTCCAGTTTCTCTCCATCTTTCCTTTTCCTACACTAGTTTAATCCTTTCCCCATTGCTAAGTTATGCTCCAGTGGTGGCTTTCAACTCTCCAACTTGTTTGCAACAAGAACAATAAGTAAGTTAATGAGTAGATAACAGGGCAGAAAAACAGTGTACTTTTCAAGATTTTATCTTTTTTCAGTTTCAGAAATGGTAATGGAAGGGATTCAAGAAGATATGGGTGATGGAAATATGATATGTACAAATCATCCTTACAAAAACAATACCCCAGGTGGGATCTGTGCCTTTTGCCTTCAAGAAAAGCTTGGTAAACTTGTTTCTTCCTCTTTCCCTTCTGCTATTTTCCCTTCTTCCTCTTCTTCAACCCCTTCTTTTAGATCTGATTTTGGAACCACTTCCTCTACTTCCTCAACTTTACCAGTACTCCAAACAAACAACATTCAAACCAACATCCAAACAAGTGTTTGTAGTAACTTTAATCAGTATGCCACAGTGAGGAAATCAAGAATGCCTTTTCTGTTGAGTACTCAAAATAGGAGGAAGAATAAGAAGAAAGATGGTAGTAATAATAGTATTGTTAGTGTCATTGCTACTACTTCAGCTTCAGCTTCAAGTGTTGGCATTTCTATGAAGAGAAGCAAGTCTACTACAACCCCAAGAAACCATATGCATTTCTTGGATAATGCTGATGAAGCTGACGAAGACTATACTCCACACAGAAAAAGGTTCTGGTCATTTCTTTACTACTCATCTTCTAAACATTCATCTTCTTCCATTTCCAAGAAAACTGAAAAAACTATTAAAGATATGAGCTTTGCTTCATCGTCTTCAGCTGGGGCATCTGTGAATGGTTCAATGAGTAGGTCAAGGGACAAAAAGAAAGAAGAGTTTGTAGTTGTGGAAGAAAATGAGAGTCCTAATGAGGCTGCATTTGATAGAAAAGTATCTAGATCTAGATCTGTTGGTTGTGGAAGTAGAAGTTTTTCAGGTGATTTCTTTGAGAGGATTTCAACTGGTTTTGGTGATTGTACTTTAAGAAGAGTTGAGTCTCAAAGAGAAGGAAAGTCTAAAGTTTCATCAGTTCATAATCATAGAAGCAATGGTAGTTCAACATCAGGTCAAGATTGTATTAAAGAAAGAGTGAGATGTGGAGGTTTATTTAGTGGTTTTATGATTACTTCTTCTTCATCTTCTTCTTCATCTTCATCTCATTGGGTTTCATCTGAGGAAAATGTGAATGGAAAATCAAGCATAGCTCCTGCATCTGTTGGACATCAGCTTGTACATGGAAGGAATAAGAGTTGGGGTTGGGCATTTGCAAGTCCAATGAGAGCTTTCAGTAGTAAGACATCATCATCTTCAAATGGAAAAAGAGAAGCCTCAAATAAGAATGCTACTCCAAATTTGGCAGCTATTCCTTCTTTGTTGACTGCAAGAGGCTAAAAAGGGGCTCTTTCTTTTTCCTATTTTACTACTTTACTTTAAGTCTAATCAGACGAGGGTATCTTGGCGTAACTGGTAAAGTTGTTGTCACGGGTTTGAGATTTGAAAACATTGCGTAAAATAAATTCTTGTGGTCCGACTCTTTCTCGAATCCCGTCCTGTAGCGGTAACTTAGTGCACCCGCCACCATACTTCAAGTCTAATTAGCTACTGATACTACTGCTACGGAAATTTACTTGTTTAAAACTCTGTTTATTTATCAGGTGTGATATGTGCTTATCTCCTTTTGGAACTACCTCTTTTTCTCTTGCTATTGAGGTTGATGTTGATTTTTTATTAATGATTCTAGTGTCAATTGTTTTTGCTTTTGTTGAAGCTTTAGTGGGCAGTAGAGTAAATAGAAGACCACTTGTTTATGTGTATTGTAAAATTGAAATAATTGGTGAATAAAAATGCAATGTAGTTTTTCAGGAGGTGGAGTTGGTGGTAATTTACAAATGGATGAGTGTGTACTTCCTTTGATCTGTCATTGGAAAGTATTTTCAAGGAGTGGTCCAATCCAATCCAATCATGTACTATATGTTTGTTGTTCATTGCAAATTGCTTATAGGAAACTTTATAATTGGAAAGAATTGTTATTTTTGTTGTTGCTGTATTAGCCTCAAAGGTGGTATGATGATGTTATTATTATGGCCAATAATTTGTTATTATTGAATTCTGCTGTTCAATTGGGTCTTAATCTTTTGGCAGTGTCACAACTTTAGTTAGCAAAATATCTATGGTTGGAATTCAGATTTTGGTAGAGTTTTGATTTATATGTAGAGTTGGGAATAATCAAAAGACCTTTTAGATAATCTTGTAAATTGGGGATCATATATGGTTTATCCCTTGTAATTGCAGTCAACATGTAAATTCAATACCTTTCAATTTGTAAATTAAAACACTTTATTTAATCTCAATATATTGCATGTGGTTAGAAAAATAGAAAAGAAAATACAAAATAACTATAGCTAGCTGCATCTGTGCAAAGAGCAAGTTTAGGATCTTGATGGAGATAGGTGGAGTGATCCCTAACTTTAATGCATGGCTTTTGTAGTAGAAACTTTTGTTTAAAATCACAATCTATAGATTTTTGGATTGTGTATATATTGTGGAACCCTTTCCCCCCAAGATGTCTCCATGTAGGAGTCTCACTAGTTTAAATGTTACCCATTTAGCTGGCCAAAAGCCACAAAAATCCATAAATAATGAGTTGCTAAGTATCATGTCACTAACTCCTCATGTGCAAGGATTCATAGACACATCTAATCATTGTTAAAATAAAAGGGTGTTGAGAATTATTGAAAAGGAAAGGTTTTAGAATCAAAGACTCAAAACTTTGAGTCAAAATTCAAGCACATGTTTGGTAGATAGGACACATGCTAAAAGCTCTAGATCAAAGTGACAAATGAATAAAACACCCAAACATATAAACTTTTATACTAATCTAGCCTTATTAGTGTATAGTGTATGTATTCACTTAAGTCTGTCTCTCTTCTCTCTCTATCACTAGTTGAGGGAGAATCATTTCTCTTCTTTTTAAACTTTTTCTGTATCTTAGATCTATCATCAACTTGACTTTTCAAACTCCCTCAGTCCATCCAACCCACACCCTTAGGAACATAAACAGATTTGGGAGTTTGCAATTTCAATGTATGAGAGAAGTGATCTTGGCTTGCTTTTTTTAATAGGATCAATTCTTTTTAAGGTGATGAGTTACTATTTGCTAATATAGTAAAATAAACATGAATGTCCGTCTAACTTAGGGCCCGTTTGGCTATAAGATTTTTTTTTTTTCGGAATCAGTATTTGTCCATGAAAATTCCAAATTGTATTTATGTTCAAACACAAATTTAGTTTTCAATTACTATTTTCACTTTTTTTCGAAATTTTACTCTTCGTATGTCCAAACGTCCACTTAGTTAACGTCAATATTACTCCATTTGTATAAAATTATAACTTCACATTGCCCATTGATTCCATACCAGACTCATAAGCAGAAAGTTTCTCTAGCTCTTTGCCAATTAATCAACGTCCTTCTAACTCGTTTTAAAGCGTTGAAGAGAAAGATAGGACATTCTAAAGATAATTGTTGAGGAATCATCTGATTTCTAACTACGAGTCCGTTTTCAAGCTAACTGAATGCCTATCTGCTGCTTTTGTTCCACTATATGTTGTTACTGCTCTTTATTTGTAATTGAAAAATCTCAAAATAAGAATAATGTTGAATATAACTACACTAATACTCATATACATAGCGAGCAGTTCTAAACAGGTTCTTGAAAATGGCCTCTACATTTTGATCTTGGAGTACTAAGGGTTTAGTGCTTAGATTTTGGACATGGATTATTGAAGTAATAATATAAGAAGAGACAAGTGTAGAGGCATATGATTGAAAAGGAGGACCCCAAATGCATAAAGACACTGGAAAAAAGGCTGTTGGAGAAAATAGTGATGTTGTTGGAGAAGGACATGATATCTAATAAGCTCCACTCCAAAAAGGACCTGTACTTTGTAGCACCCACCAAAACTGTACATACAAAGACAACACATCACTTGGTTAAATATTTTGAGGCCCTGTTTTAAGTGTTTTGTAGTGGTGTAGAATAGGGAAAAAATTTCTTAAGAAGCATTGAATGCAAATATCTTTCTGCCCTTCTTACCAAATTCACTCCCAAAAACCCAAAGATCTCTCTTAGCTGTAGGACATGAGATAATTTTAATAGCATATTTGGCCAAGCTTCTAAAATCAGTTTATTTTGAGAGATATTTTTTTCAAAAGTACTTTTTAAAAAAGTATTTTTGGTGATAAATAATTTGTATTTGACTAGTTAATTTGAAAAACACTTTTGAACAGTAATTAATATTTGGCCAAATTTTTAAAAACTGCTTTTAAGTATATTTTTCTTAAAAGTGTTTCTTAGAAAAGTGCTTTTGAAGAGAAGCTATTTTTTTCTGCTTCTCAAAAACTGTTTCTGCTTCTTCTGTACTTTTTTTCCATCTAAAAGCTTAGCCAAACACCTCATAAAGACCCCATTAACCACACTACAATGTTTTCACAGCTTTTTCCTTTTTCCCCTTCTTTTCTGTATTGGTTCTTTGATTATCAATGACAATGTAAAACAAGTTTTGATAGTGTAAATAACTTTCTTTTGATGACCGAGAAATTGCTATGGAGCCGATGTTTTGGGCCAACTGCAGCCTTTAAAATTCGAGAATAATCGGCTCGCCCCTCTACACTTAAATATCAAAATTAGTTTACTTGGCCAGGGCTCGAACTTGAACCTGAACCTATGACATAAGATACAAGTCCCTCAACCTTTGCCAATTGAGCTAACTCCTGGGTGCGTAAAACTTTTCTGTTATGTAAAATTTATGGAAATATGAAATATGATCTCTATTGTTAGAAAACCTTAGTAGATACCCTATACCTTCTGTCTTGACTTGTGAAAAAATGAATCACATTGTTAAGATCGTCATTTTGATTTCACAATATATGTTACACATGTATAAAAGTTTGATGCTTTAAGCACATTGACTCCTTGCTTAGAAAATACTTGAGACTAACCATATCAGTCACTATTATGAGGTTCAAGTTATATTTGCATTGACAGACATGGCAACATGCTATACAAACTTTACAAAGTCTCTCGTCTTCAAAATCAATCGCAAAAATTTATAAAAATATCTTGAACATAGAGAGAACGATATTTAATATACTCGAGCAAGATGAACTAGATTTCTAACTCTAGACGAATGAAAGTACCTCCCTCCACCTTCAACTAACTTGCAGGAAATTATTATTGATCCCATGAGATGAAAAAAACTAACTTAACTTTTTTTCGAAACAATCGAAAGAAAAGAAAGCAAAATAATTGTTATGTACTTGGATAACATGTAGAAATGAGATGAGCCAGGACTTAATAAAATCAAAGACAGAAATTAATTTTGTATTTCTCACTAGTCTCAGCCGGAGAATTAAAAGGGACAAGCATAGTCTTTGAGCTAACATTTTTCCCACTATGTGCATGACTAATTGATCACGCCCAACTCTAACCCTAAAAAGGATAAACGGTCGCTGTAAATATAATCAGGTCTAAGAGTCCGGAGTCGAATCCCACAGAAAACTAATGTTTCACTATAACTGTTCAATATCACTAAAAAGATAAGCCCGAACAAGTCCAAAGTTATAAATATTAAGATTCTTATGTCTAACTAATTAACTAACAAATTAAAGTAGTAAATTAATAAATATGGATACTAAGGGTTGGAGAAAAGATTAAGGAGGTCTAGAGTTATGATTTTCCCAATTGTCGGAATCCTTCCCGCTACCTCTTCTATAATTTTGCCTAAGTATTCTATAATTTCGCCTAAGTATTCTCTACCGATCGTGAGTACTTCGGGTGTCGTAATTATCTCTCGACCAACTACCACAATTTACTAGACATATTCTCTCGAATTATGCTAGCTGACACTAATTCACCGCTCACTACGATCGCACCAAGGTTTTGTTATCTCTAATCCCGTCTTTTAACCCTCCGTATTGATCTCTCAGATACGTTAGGAGTGATGTTCTTCAACAACTACCTTATATGTACCCTCTCTCGAGCAATACACAACTAAATAGGCACAGTCAATTAATGGCCATTCAATCAACAACAGTAAATACGTAATTGAACAAGTAGAGAAATCTAACGTTTCAATTATATAAAAACACAACGAGAATTTTCTTACAAAAGGTTCCATCAAAACCCTAAATAATAAATTAGCTATTCATAATAGTATGCAAAACTACAATACTAGAATTCATAACCTATAATGAAAATAGGAAGAAGGAAGTGAAAAACTCGTAGAAGAATTCTCCTCCTTGCTCCTAGTGTGTTCATGCCTCCTTGGGTCGAATCCCCTCTCTATAAACGTCCACCCTCTCTAAAAAATAACTTTAAATGTATTTGTAAGGTAGGGTTAACGTGTCCACGTCCAAAACTAAGGAGGAAATAAAATTGGCTCGGATAGCATCATCGGCGCGAGGCATTGTCTGAGGCACCAATATTTCTGCGCGAGGCACTGTCTGGGCCACCAATATTTCTGCGCGAGGCACTGTCTATGGCGCCAATGTTTCTGTGCTAGGCACTGTCTGGGGCACCAATGACAATGCCCTGGACAATGCATTGCACTGTCTATGGCCATGACTTTTCATTGCCTTGCACGTTTTCTTTTATCGCTCCATTTTGTAGCTCTGAGGTACCATTTCGTGCAACTTTTCTCCAATTCATGTCCAAGCATTCCTACACGTGAAATAAGCTCTATTAAGCGCAATTGTCGCACAAATTAGCATTCAAAGAACAAGCAAGTAGGGTAAATAACGTCAAAATATATGAAATTATAGCACAACATCAACATCACATACTTAAATATTGCTCGCCCTTGAGTCAACCAACCAAACACTTCCTCTTCAAGGACCCAACAAGCCATACATTTACAACACACTACACCTATGGTCATGGTTGATAAAAATAATTAAGCTATAGTATATGCTGTTAAAATATACTTCCCGTACTTATGCCCAATTTTAAAATATCTAACATACGAACAACATGATT